TTCTAGTGGTCTAGTAACTTCTGGGGTTTTTCTTGGATGAGTGTCTGGTCCCTTGTTCCCCTGGAGGCTACTATTTCCAAAGGTGTTGGTCAAGGGGTCACTGGCAGAAAATGGCTTCAGGCTATGGGTTACCACTTCTGTCTCAAGAATTGCCTGCAGAAAATCTTGGTTGAGTCCAATGTTTCCCTCTTTAATACCTGAAGGTACAGGCTGATAGAGTTTCATGGGACATTGTAGGCTGATTCCTTTTGAAAAATACAATCACGGGCAATGTGAACACCACTAGCTTCATGTTCTCACTCACCAGGTCAAGGCATATTGGCTACCAGACTTTCTTGATAAGGCTCCACCATAGCCTTGACTTCCATTATCTGAGTGCTGCCCCTCTTTCAAGTCTTTCCCAGGGGTAGCGGATTTATAGGTGTGTGTGTATAATTTCATACACACACACACACACACACACACACACACACACACACACAGTAAATTCAAATCAAGTTAACAATTGGAGAAATAAAAACTTATCCAATAATAAACCAGTCTGTGGGTACTCTTTAACAAAGTTATTTTTTTCCCCTTAATTTTAATTTCCCTACTACTACCAAGGAAAACGTTAACCCTCATGCACTGTCATAAACTTAGAGAGTAAATTGGTATGACATATTAGGAGAGATACTTGGCAAAATCAGTCAAGAGTGTTACAATGCTTTTTATAATTTGGAGTTAGTAATTCCATTTCTTGGAAGTTATCCTAAATTAACCACAAATAAGATAATATAAATGTAAAGAGTATAGGCACAAAAATTAAACATTTTAGGTGTAAATCTAAAATTTTAATCTCAGTTTTTTCATTAAACATATATGTTTATATATTTTATTTATAGATATATATTTTTTTCTACTTAAAATTTATCTATTTAGTTTAAGTCTAAACTTTTAAAAAATTTTTTAAAATATTTATTTATTCTTGAGATAGAGATAAGGTGTGAGTAGGGGAAGAGCACAGAGAGAGAGGGAGACACAGAATTTGAAGCAGGCTCCAGGCTCTGAGCTGCCAGCACAGAGCCCCGATATGGGGCTCGAACTCACGAACCATGAGATCATGACCTAAGCCAAAGTAGGCTCCTTAACCAACTGAGCCACCTAGGTGGCCTTAAATCTAAACTTTTAATCTTAGTTTCTTCTTTTATACAATATCTATACCTATATCTATCTACATCTTTATATGTATGTTTTATCTATTAAATATAGTTTGCTGATAATAGTACTATTTCATAACGTTGTTAGTATCATATACCCAGAAATGTTAATGTTTAGTTGAAATACAATGATTATAGTACAATTTATTATAAAATTTCTAAAAACTAAGGAATTGATTAAATGTGATAAAATTCTGTGCAACCAATGGAAGCTGTTTGGAATGTGACATTTATTCTCTCCTCATACTTCCTTTTATTTTCACAAATTTTTACTGTCATATTGTGTTAGACATATATATTTACAGATTGTGCCAATACTTGTGAATACAATGAAATGATTAAATTGGTCCAATGCTATGCCTTCTATCTCTTGATTCAATATTTTAATGGCCCTTACATAAAGAAAGCGGTTCACATGTAAAGCGAGCACACTTTCTAGGGTTATTTTATATAGTACTGATTGATCATTTTTTCCCCCTTAAATTCCTTTAATTTTGTTCTGTATGGCATTTTTTTATTCAAAATTTCATTTTCCCTAATAGTAAACATTTTTCCGCACATCATCACATCTCTAGTAATGCTGGATTCTTAACCTTTATGTCCAATATTAGCTTGACCTTTAAAACACCCAGTAATACCCAGATGTGTTGAGTAGTTATCAAAAGGCCTTCCTCACGGGGAAAGCTCTCATACCATCCCAAGTATAAAAGGCCTTCAGTCTATTTCCCAAGTGTGCAACAAGAGTAGATGCCATGCCTGCCTTTCACCTATTGTAAATGCTGAAGGCACACTTTATTTTCTTCTGTGGTCCCAAGTCCACTGCAACTTTTGTGCTTTCACCACAGGAATTTTGACATGTAAGATGGCTTGCAAAATAAGTGGTGTCAGATCTATTTGTCATGTCGCCTCCCTCTCCTGCAGCCACAGGTTTAAAATGAAGTAATTGTTGGTTTTATAATTCACATAATCAGAATTGCTTACACTCTGTTAATTCCCCTGGTCCCATTTTTATTTGTTTGTTTTCTTGCCTAATTTGGTCATATTCCTTCAATTGATCCTACTCAACACCTAAAAGACAACAGCAATTCAGAAATATAATTAGGGACAAGACTACTTCATGACTCTCTGAATGTCAGCAAGTTTTTCAAGTGTATTATTTCTGTGACTCTAATTTCACATTGGCACAGGTATTGTGTGATCAAAAATGTTTTGAAAGGGAAGATTTTTGTCCAGTGGGAGAATACAGTAACTCCTTGGCTTTCTATTTATAAAATGAATGCCAACCATTAACTTTGGGTTTGGAATGTTATAGAGAGCACAATGCAAGTGCGAGAGCACAATGCAAGTGCGAGACATAGGTAAATTTGCAGGATTTAATCACCTTGTGTCCTGTGATGAATTTGTCAGGACTTCTTAAACGTCTCACTTGCAATTATTTTTGTCATTATATTACAAAAATTTAGCAGTTAGAACTATTTTTCAAATGTAACTGGGTGTCTTCTGTTTTACTTGGTATATCTGTCAAGTCTAGACACAGGCTTTTCTATTATGAAATGCATTAATTTTAAATTATCACTTAAATTTATGAAGAATTTCTAAAGGACATGTAATTTATAAAGGATCTCTTTTGTAATATCATGTTTCTAATGTTAATTTATTTTTGACAGAGTGAGAGACAGGGAGAGAGAGAAAGAAGAGTGGGGGAAGGGCAGAGAGAGGGAAACAGAATCTGTGGCTCTGAGCTGTGGGACTCAATCTGAGCACAGAGCCTGACATGGGACTCAAATTCACAGAGTGCAAGATCATAACCTGAGCCAAAGTCGGATGCTTAACTGACTGAGCCACCCAGGCACCACTCTTTTGTAATTTCTAATTCCTTTAGTGAGCAGTACAGGAAGTCATAGTAGTATTTTTCTTAGAAAACATAACAAGAAAAAACAGAGAAGGAAAGAGTGTGTCTGCATCTATTTCGTTGGATGGTTAATCTACTAATTAGCTTCCCAAATGACCCTGAAAAACTCCTGATATTGAGGGCTCTGACATTGTCAGGTCTTTAAAATGTAAAATGATAGAGGTGCCTGGGTGACTCAGTCAATTAAGCCTCTGACTCGGGTTCGGTTCAGGTCATGATCTCACTGTTCTGTGAGTTCCAGCCCCACTCAGGCTTCACGCTATCGATGCAGAGCCTCCTTGGGTTTTTTTATCTCTCTCTCTCTCCCTTTCCCTCTCCTTTTCTCCCTCTCTCTCTCTCTAAAAATAAAAAAAAAATTAAAAATTAAAAAAATAAAATGTAAAATGAGAAAAAGAGGAGTGTGCACGGGTAGTTAAAATTGATGAGGATTTAAGTTATAGACTCTGGTCTACCTCCCTTTATACCCTAGAGAATAATAATCCTCAGTCCTTTCAGTGTCTGTGATATATATAGCCCTTGCCAATAACAAACCTACTTGTATGTAATTTTTTTTCCAAACTTTGGTATCATTTACTTTTTCTTGCTGTAACATTTCAGAGAGTGCTATGGACTGAATTATGTCGACCCAAAATTTTATGTTGAAGACCTAACCCCTAATGTTTACAGACATGACCTTTGGGAGGTAATTAGGTTTAGATGAGCTCATGATGATGGGACTTTCATGATGAGATTAATGCCCTTTTAAAAACGGACACTGGAGAGATTGCTTCCGTTTTCCACCTGCACACACCCAAAAAAAAAAAAAAAAAAGCTATGTGGCTGCCTGAAACTTAAGGAGAGAGTACTCACCAGACACTCAACTTAGTGGCACCTTGATCTTGGATTTCTAGTCTCCAGAACTGTAAAAAATATATTCCTGTTGTTAAAGACACCAGTCTACGATAGTTTGTTTTGGCAGCCTGAGATGGCTAATTCAGGGAAGTGGCTTAGTTAAAGTGGCTTCATCTAATTAACTCTGGTACTCTAGTTATGCCTCATGCTGCTGACAGGATCCAAGCCAGTACCACAGAAACACGATGTGACTTTGTCACTATGTTTCTAAAATTTGATAACAGAATTCAGACTCAAATGTCAGTTTTCATGAAAAAAAAAAAGCCAAAACTCTGTAAGATATATTATTTACTATTTAAATCAAATTTGATTAATATTTTTAAATCTATATTTAATTTGGTGGCCATTCTGTGCCTCTACTATTAGTTCTGGAAGAGGTAGGTTTTTCTTTATTCTCTCTCTCTCTTTTTTTTTTTTTTTTCTCATTCAGAAAATAGAATCACAACAACATTTCCTTGATTCTTGCAAAGGCTCATCTGTTGTACAACCAAAATTCACAAATTCAGATACTGTCATGTAAATATTGTTCTAAAGCAAACAGTGGACTGCTAATACCATTGCAATATATAATTATACTATTGAAGCTGAAATAATTTTGACATATGAAGTTTTTCATATTCGAGCTACATGAGCTCCTGAATTGTGGAAATCCCTAGGATAGCGATCTTAAAATTAATTAGAATCTGGTTATAAGAAGAATATCTCTACTTCAATCAGAACACATTGTTAAGCTAACCCGATTTCCATTTATTGCTCATAATTTGTGCATTAGGGAAATGGTTTAACATTTCTGAGCCTCTGTGTGAAGTACTTTATAATTTCACAAGCATAGTCTGTTGCACAATCATATTGGCACACATTCAGATAAATTTTCCAAAAATTAAGGATCAAGGATTCCCATGTCTAATTAGCCAAACACTAGTATGTCCTTTATCAGATTCTTCAACCCTCTACCTTTAAATTACCCAAGATGCCTTTCTGCCCGTGGACGCCGCCGAGGAAGTATCGATAAAGTCTCCCCTCCCATCGCCGTCATGTCTAAGTCAGAGTCTACCAAAGAGCCCGAACAGCTGCGGAAGCTTTTCATCGGAGGTTTGAGCTTTGAAACAACTGATGAGAGTCTGAGGAGCCATTTTGAGCAATGGGGAACGTTTACGGACTGTGTGGTAATGAGAGATCCAAACACCAAGCTCTCCAGAGGCTTTGGGTTTGTCACCTATGCCACTGTGGAGGAGGTGGACGCGGCCATGAATGCAAGGCCACACAAGGTGGATGGAAGAGTTGTGGAGCCAAAGACGGCTGTCTCGAGAGAAGATTCTACAGGACCTGGTTTCCACCTAACTGTGAAAAAGATTTTTGTCAGTGGCATTAAAGAAGACACTGAAGAACATCATCTAAGAGATTATTTTGAACAGTATGGGAAAATTGAAGTGATAGAAATCATGACTGACCGAGGCAGTGGCAAAAAGAGAGGCTTTGCTTTTGGAACATTTGATGACCATGACTCTGTAGACAAGATTGTCATTCAAAAATACCATACTGTGAACGGCCACAACTGTGAAGTAAGGAAGGCTCTGTCTAAACAAGAGATGGCTAGTGCTTCCTCCAGCCAAAGAGGTCGAAGTGGTTCTGGAAACTTCGGTGGTGGTCGTGGAGGTGGTTTTGGTGGGAATGACAACTTTGGTCGTGGAGGAAACTTCAGTGGGCGTGGTGGCTTTCGTGGCAGTCGAGGTGGTGGTGGATATGGTGGCAGTGGGGATGGCTATAACGGATTTGGTAACGATGGTGGTTATGGAGGAGGCAGCCCTGGTTACTCTGGAGGAAGCAGAGGCTATGGAAGTGGTGGACAGGGTTATGGAAACCAGGGCAGTGGCTATGACGGGAGTTGCAGCTATGACAGCTATAACAACGGAGGAGGTGGAAGCGGCTTTGGCGGTGGTAGTGGAAGCAACTTTGGAGGTGGTGGAAGCTATAATGATTTTGGCAATTACAACAATCAGTCTTCAAATTTTGGACCCATGAAAGGAGGAAATTTTGGAGGCAGAAGCTCTGGCCCCTATGGTGGTGGAGGCCAATACTTTGCCAAACCACGAATCCAAGGTGGCTATGGCGGTTCCAGCAGCAGCAGTAGCTATGGCAGAAGGTTTTAAATACTGCCAGGAAACAGAGCTTAGCAGGAGAGGAGAGCCAGAGAAGTGACAGGGAAGCTACAGGTTACAACAGATTTGTGAACTCAGCCAAGCACAGTGGTGGCAGGGCCTAGCTGCTACAAAGAAGACATGTTTTAGACAATACTCATGTGTATGGGCAAAAAACTCGAGGACTGTATTTGTGACTAATTGTATAACAGGTTATTTTAGTTTCTGTTCTGTGGAAAGTGTAAAGCATTCCAACAAAGGGTTTTAATGTAGATTTTTTTTTTTTGCACCCATGCTGTTGATTGCTAAATGTAATAGTCTGATCATGACGCTGAATAAATGTGTCTTTTTTTAAATGTGCTGTGTAAAGTTAGTCTACTCTGAAGCCATCTTGGTAAACTACCCCAACAGTGTGAAGTTAGAATTTCTTTAGGGTGATGCCAGGTTCCATTTGAAATTTTATTTGCAACCTGCTTGGGCACAGAATCCATGGTCTCCACAAACATTGGTGTGGTTGAACTGACAGTTAATGTGTTGTGACCTGGAGTTCACTGTTAAAAGGGTCACCCAAGCAAAGTCCTGGAGTTTATTTGGTTATTAATATGATTGTTGGCACATCCTATGCAATATATCAAAATTGAATCATGGTATCAGATAAAATTATAGATGAGATTAAAGCTTGTGTATCATCCATTATCATGTGTAATCAATAAACGATTTAATATTCTCTTGAAAAAAAAATAAATTCCCCAAGATGCCCAAGGAATAGATCTAAGATTGTTCAGCTTAACTAGTTATTATTGCTTAAACTTTGGTAGTTTGTGTCTTTCAAGGAATTTGTCCCTTTTATGTAAGTTGTATAATGTATGATTTTAAAATAGTTTATAACAGTCCTTTATTACTTTTTAATGCATATGGGATATTGGTATATTTATCTTCTCTCACATTTTTGGTTATCCTGGCTATAGATTTATCTGTATTGATCTTTTAAGAAGTAACATTTTTATTCATTAATTGTCTGTGTGGTTTTATAATTCATTTTCAATTTCATTGATCTATGGTCTTATTCTTACTACTTTCTTCCTCTTGCTTGCATTAGATTTATTTTACTGTTCTCTCAGCCCCCACCACCATCCTGCTCAGTGTCTTAAGGTATAAGTTTAGATTATTGATTTGAGAATTTATTCTTTCCTAATAAAAATTAAATTTAAAAATTTTTGTGTTAGTTACTTCCTTAAGAGTATTTTACAAATTTTTATATGTTGTATTTTCTTTCAGTTTAAACTCTTTCCTAACTTTCCTTTTGATTTCTTCTTTAATCTGTGAATTTTTAGAAGTGTATTGTTTGCTTTACAAAATGAGGTTTTACCGGGAGCCCTGTTCGGGCGCCACTTACTGGGGGGCCGAGCCGGCTCCGGCAGGTCCAGGGGTCCCTGAAGGATGGACAGTGTCGGCGAGAGAGAGAGAGAGAGTGAGAGAGCCCCGAGATTCTTTGTGATCACCAGGCAGGCATCTCTGTCCTGTCAGTTTTGGTGTCTTTATTTAAAGGTTCAACAACAATATGAGGTCAGAGAAAAGGAATTTCTTACAATGAGAGGTCTTTTGTGATATCAATTGCAAAATTATCCCAGTCATAGTGAATTTACGACCAAGGAAATAACAGGATGCTCTTAGTGAAAGACAGGATAACATATAGGTTAAATTGTATATAGATAAGCTAGGAGTCATTCTATCTGGCTCTCAAGAGGATGAATGATTCTGAATTCATTAGTTTGTGGAAACTACCAAGGGGGCTCTATATTTATCAGTCTTTGCATCTGGGTTTATGTTTTAATTACTCTTATCTATCCTCATCCCAGCTGCCAGTGTAAGGGAGGACGTCTGTGGAATGTAGTCCCTGAGGAAGGGACTGCCATACATCACCAATTAGTAAGTTATGTTCTGCACTTATCTGTACCTTAACTATAAATTAGACTCTTCTGACATGGGACCAGGCTCAATAGTAACTCTTGTGTTCTTAACCCTCTTTATTATCTAAGTCTTGGATCTGCAAGCCCCATAGGAGGAACCTTTTGACAATGGTCCACAGAGCTCTTATCTAAAATCTCGTTTGTAAAGGCAGGAATATGCTTTTCCTATGAGGTAACTGTGTTCAGAATATGGGTTTGATATGGAATATTGTGAGGCCTGGTTAGTACCAGCAGGCTTATATCCAACATGAGCCAGTAGTAGCAGAAGGAGATATCAGTTTTCATTTCTCATGGCAGGAGCTGTGCAAACACTGCCATTTCCTTGCTGTGACTGCCATCCAGATAGGCCAGTGCAGCACCTGGCAAGGTTTGTTTCTGTTAATACTTTCAAGTTTAATTTCATTATATATAGATTTCAATCTATTCAAATTTATTGAGAATTTTTTATGGTATAGAATATTATCCATCTTGGTGAGTATTTAATGTGTCTTGAAAATGATGTGTATTATGAGGGGTGTCTTGGTGGCTTAGTCCATGAAGCATCTGACAATGGCTCAGGCATTGATCTCATGGTTCGTGGGTTCGAGCCACATGTCAGACTCTAGGCTGACAGCTCAGAGCCTGGAGTCTGCTTCGGATTCTTTGACTCCCCTCTTCACTCTGCCATTCCCTGCTCTCACTCTCTGTGTGTGGCTCTCTCTCAAACAAATAAATTAACATTAAAAAGATTTTTTAAAGGAAAAAAAATTTGTATTATGCTGTTTTTTGGTGTAGTGCTCTCAAAACAGTTGCTTCAAGTTGATCAATAGTGCTGTTCAGGTATTTTATAATTTAGTGTTCTTATCTATCTTATACTAGAATAAGAAGGTCCAAATTTTCTAATATATGGATGATTTTTAAAATTTGTCTTTTAAGTTTTATTCATTTTGCTTTATTATTTTGAAACTCTGTTATTATTAAGTCTTTTTAATGAATTGGCTCTTGTGTTACTATGGAATGTCTCTCCCCTCTTTATCCCTGGCTTTATTCCCTATTCTGTTACCCACTTTAGTATTAATACACTCATCTAATCTTTCTTTTCTTTAGTATTTGTGTGCTATATATTTTCCATCATTTTTACCTTTATTCTATTTTTAACCTTGTTTTGTATTTGATTTATTTATAGATTTGGGGGAGATATTATATGCTTGCTTTTTTTAATTTGTTTTTTTTAATCTGACAGTTTTTCCTTTTTAATGAGAATGTCTGTAGCATTTATATTTAATGTGTTTATCAATGCGATTATATTTAAATCAATCATTTTGTGTTTTTCTGTTTCTTTCATAAGTCTTATTAGATATACAGAAGCATTTAAATTTATTTCTGAGCATCACCTTCACAGCATTCCACACATGCTGACATGCTCATATGTTACCCTACAGTGTCAGTTTTCTTTTTTTTTTAATGTTTTATTAATTTCTGAGAGAGAGAGAGAGAGAGCTCATGAGCTGGGAAGGGTCAGAAAGAGAAGGAGCAACAGAATCTGAAACAGACTCCAGGCTCTGAGATAGCTGTCAGCACAGAGCCCGAAGTGGGGCTTGAACCCACAAAACTTGAGATAGTGACCTGAGCTGAAGTCAGATGCTTAACCGACTGAGCCACCCAGGCACCCCTACAATGTCAGTTTTCTGATAGCTTCAAGGATAGTATGGGTCTTTAGTTTATATGGTTTCTTCTCTTTTTGGATAAAAGAGATACACTTTCAAGATTTTTATATTTTAGATGTAAGTGGAACACTTTGTGTTATTTCTATCCTCTTAAAATGATTGAAGCTTGGATAATGATTGGATAAATTATTTTTTTTTACGGTGAATGTTCCATCTAGACTAAAAAGAATAGGCTTTCTGTAGTTGGTGAATGTAGCAATTCTTAAATATCAGTTTAGTCAATACAGTTGATAGTATTCTGTATTTTTAAACTTTCTAGTTGCAGCAGTGCCGAGAAAAATTGGATATAAAAATCTCCAATAATGTTTGTTGGAATGTCTCTTTAACTCTCTAACAATGACTTTTTATTACAAACTTTTCATTTTTCAACTCAGTTTTCAATTTACAATTATAATTTTCTATTTGGTTTCTCTAGGGTTTCTTTTCATTTCTATGAAGATATTTTCCTTTATGTACTTCAGCTTAGTTTTATTAGCTGACTTAAAAATTATTTGTTAATTTCAAAATTTGAGTCATCATGAATAATCCTGAGTTTACCATTTATTTATTTATTTATTTATTTATTTATTTATTTTGGTTCAAATTTTGACACCCTTATGACAATCTGTCTTTGTTTGGGCCTTAGAACCTTTAAATATTTTGTGTATATTCTTTTAATGTTTTAGCTCTTGTGTTTAATCAGGGTCCATTCAGAGAAACAGAACCTCTAGGAGATATTCAGAGATTTAGTACAAAACATTGGTTTATGTGATTGTGGACATTGACTAAGCAAGTAAAAAAATCAATAGGGTAGCCTTTCAGAATGGAAATTTATGAGCAGGATGGAACTCAGAGGCATCGACCAAAGTTCCAGTTCATAGGTACAATTTCTTCTCTTCTTGAGAAAATCTCAATTTACTTTTAAATCCTTTTCAACTGGCTGAATCAGTTCACCCAGATTCACAGATTATAGTCCCCATTGTTAAAATTACCTCTAAAGGGGCTTTGTTACATCTGCAAAATACATTCAAAGCAACACCTAAATTAAAGGAACATTTAGATTTCTTTTTGACTTTTTATTAAATAACTAGGGACCTGAGTCTAGCCAAATTGACAATCTAAATCTAAAAATTCATCACTTTTTTCTTGTTTTTCACCAGGATCTTGGTGTTTGCACTTGGGTCAGGGGAGGGAATAGTGTCAATATGATAGAAGAAACAATAATTCTTGGAATCATAATGCTTTTTTTAAAAAAAAATTGCATTTTTCTGTCTTTGATATTTTTGCTTTCTTATTCTTACTTTGGTTTTAGTAGACTTGCCCTTATTGTGCACTTTCAATTTCATCTTCATTTTTAACATTTTATTTTTTGCTTCCTGTTTGTCCTGAGCTCTGCTAGCTTGTGCTTTATCTACTTTGTTTTAAACCCTCCTTTCTTCT